AAATATAACTTTAGCTCTTCTGTTTTCTAAATTTCTTTGTTATCTCAAATTCTCAACGTCATTATACTCGCTTTTATAAAAGTAATAATAGATATTTGTCATTTACTTAAATAATTTGGTGATTATTTTTTTTGTTGAAAGTAAGAGATCTTGAATTTGAGTCGCATAGCATGCGGATGAAATGAGATAAACGATAAGAGATGATTGTTTTTTATTGTACAACTAAAATAAATAATAATAATAATAATAATAATAATAGATACTTTTAATGAAATAATTTAATAATTAAGAATTTAAAATTTTAAGTTAAAAATGTTAAATTTAAATCTTAACTATGGGAAAGAGGAATTTAGTGTAAATGGAGAATTATCCTATTGTATAAGGTATCATTATTTGATCTATTAAAAAAATAAAAAATTATAGAGATAACTTTCTTATATATATGATAATAGATTTTACAAAAATAAATAACCCATTCTCTCTTCTCCCAAATCACTCCCTATTGGCAACTGAGAATCTCAGGAGTCGAGCACCCTCAGGAGAATTGGAGATAATTTATATTTTACTCATATTATTAAAAAAAATTAAAATTTTTTATAATATAATAACTAATTAAATAATAATAATAAAATTAAAGTTGAAAAATATATATTTTTTTAATTTTAGGAAAAAACGATCTAGATTCATTTTAAATAAAAAAATTCATTATTTTTATAATAGATATAATAAGATAGAGGGAGTAGATAATAATTATTTAAGAAATAAGTTATTTTATAGTTTAAACTGTATCATACTATAGTCAACGACCTAAATAACTCAGTAATCATCTCTTTTCACTAGAAGTAAGATGTTCTAAATTCGAATCGCATGATATGCAGGTAGGGTAAGATAAGAGAGATAGGGTAAGATAAAAGAGATAGGGTAAGATAAAAAATAAAAGATAAAGATAATTATCTCTCATTGTGTAATTAATATAAAAAAAAAAACTATATCATACTATAAAATAAAAATTATTTGATAAGAAAAGAATTCTCAACATCAGGTTACCCACCCCTTATTCAAGTGTTGATATTTTTAAGCATGTATTGCAAAATTGTTTTTTGTATTTAAAATTAGAAGCATTTTTTTTCTTTTTTTCTTTTTGTAGAGTATGAAGTAGGATACAGATAACTTAGAAAATCCAAAATAAATGTGCCTGCAGGAATCAAACACATAACCGTTAGGTCCTCAGCCTTAGAAGCGTTTTATTATTATTAATGTTTGATTTTTATTTGAATATTTAATCCCACTATTAAGATTATTATAAACAAAAGATATTTTAACTAGTAGTCCAAATGATATCAAAAATTATATATTTACAATATCACACAATTATATAATATGACATATTATTATATAATTGGTTATGTCATATTTATTTAATAATATATTATATTTATTCAATAACACTTTGTGATTATAAATTTATAATTTTATATAATATTTTAATTATAACATTATTGAAAATTAACATGCAAGTCTCTAATAAATTGATTTCAACCGCAGTTTTCTTGTACCAATTTCATTCAAGTTAATTTTTATGTAGAAACAGTAACTTTAAACTTAGTCAAAATCAAATTCACATTTATAACAACTTCATTTTAGTGTTAGTTTTCTAGCACCAATCTCCTTCAACATTTGCCTTTTTATGCAATACTTAATTGAAACTCAATCAATGTACCAAAAAAATTTTCAACTCAATCAAGATTAGATTAAGTAAAAAGAAAACAGACAAATTTTTTTTTAACAAAATACAAATTTTGGGATATGGATCAAAATATAAATCTAGACTGGATCTTTGAGGTCCTTGACTAAGTAGTTACTCACGATAGAGAGAATAACATAAAAGTATTGTTTCATGAAATGATGTAAAATAATAAATGGATAACCATTCCTTTTTTAATATATGAAAAATAGTTTTATAATATTTATTGTTTTAAATTATAAAATATTAATTTTTAAATAAGAGATAAATCTCTTAATATTAATGGCACTTTTTTATTTAAAAAATTTTATTTTATAATTTAAACTATTTTAGATAGTATAACAAGATTGACTTTTTTTTTTGTTAAGAATTATTTTTTATAAATGTTTTTTTTCATTATTTTGGTTATATAATAAGAGATAATCATCTCTAATCTCTTATTTCATCTTTAATCTCTTATTTCATCTTTAATCTCTTATTTTATTTCAATCGCATGCCATGAGACTCAAACTCAAGATTTTTTATTTCCAATGAAAGTAGATGATCACTAAGTTACTTATGTTATTGATTTATTTTTTATAAATGTTACTCTTATAGTACTACTAATATTTTGAGAACTAGTCTGGCATTCCCCCATGTGACGTACTATTAATCGTTCTGAAAAGTAGGTGAAATGCACTCTCAATTCTTCAAGTCAAGTCTAACATATTATTTAGAATAGATATTAACTTAACCTAACACTATAGTTTCCTTATATATATATATATTGAGGACTAATCTGCGATTATTTTGTGTTTGAGAACATTTTTACAAATATTTTTGAAAGCACCTCAGATGGTCATACGAAAA